TCACCAGCCGTCCGGTGAATGCCTTCGACAACCATGACCTTAAACAACCTACTAAGACATAATATGAACATGGTTACAGAAATTTACTTGAAAATAGCATTTTTCGCATGATCGACTGAAAGGGGCCGTGGCGAGCGCGCCGTGCGCCGCCGACGGCTATACGCCGTCTCCCGGCCAAAACACCTTCTCCCTCGGCAACTCCAGAACAACTTAACATGAACATCATTTTGAGGCAATTTAAGACATAAACACACGGACGAACATGATCATTACTGAAGGCAATAGGACATGACCCGAGGCTTCCCGTGGCCACGCGCGATAATCGCTAGCGACGACTTGGGCCACTTCATCGATAAAACATCATTTTGCCTCGACTAACCTGGACTTACTGGACATGAAATAAGCTAAACTGAACAATTAAACGTAAATAGTTCGAGAATTGCCGGGTAAAATGAAAAGTTATTCGATCATGATTTTACTTAGGCCTAATCGGACTTTAACACGGCCTTATTAAAAATTCTCGAACGTTAATCGAACACTTTAACTTAAAATGAACTTACGGCCATAAACATAAGTCGAGGACGACTATACCTTCGTAAATACTCGCCGGAATATCGAAATTGTTCGAGCCCTTGCGCGTGCGTCCGGTTATGGCCGTGCGGTACGTCGTCAACTATCGTGCGTGCTGTAGGTATTACCGTATGGAGAAGAGTGTATAAAGCTTAAGAGGATAAGCTGAATTGCTTGTTGATATTTGAGGGTAATTGTTGAGTACGACTTATAGGGAAATAAGGGAAAAATTTCCATCAACTCATGCTTATATATATTGTGGCCGGGGGATGGTGATGACGCCAAGAGAACGTGGCCTCTTTAGGCCTTGCCATTTGCTACACTTAAAATGAATTAAAGGTGACTAATCCTTCCACCATAATCCTCCTACTAACACGTGTGAAGTTACTTTAGGAGAAAAGAAATTGTTTCCTTCAAACTTAGGAAACTTAAGAAAAAATTAGAACACATACTTATATAGCACACAACCTTAGTACAATAATTTGGGGCATTTGCCTTGTAACTCACGGCTTGAGCCCTAATGGTGTGATTAATTATAATTAATCA